TGCGCAGTGAGTCCCGGATTGTTCCGTCTATGAGTGAACCCAGGTTCAGTAATTAACAGGTGAGATTGATACCGTTAGAGCGGTAGACCCACAAGGGGTTTTATATTTGGAACCGGTTATTGGAATCTGCCCTGTCCTTATGGATGGAAGAAGTGAAAGCGCAACACTTATCTGGAAATTAGACGCTCTGTAGTCAGCACGTCTAATATAGGTGGTTTGGGTCAGACTGAGTTCTGGTGTAAATAGCTCATGTCGGACACCGGTGTCCTGTCTTGACTAGCATATCTAGGGTGTAAATTTTGTTCGCTAGGTCGGGGGGACCGGGAGACTAGCATACTCTGTTGTATATTATAGTTTGCTAGATTTCACCCTATCTTAACTAAGTGTGCTCTGTTGTAAATCCAGCCACTAGATTATTGATGGTTTCATAGACTAAAAGGGTATTGGTGTAAATTTTGCCCTCTAGTTCGCTATACGTGGTGTCTGGGCAGCGAAGAACTTATCGAATCTCTGGTGTATAAATAGATCGAAAGCTCTCGAGGTGCTGGCCAGTTAGAATAGTTGGGATTATTGTAAATGTTGTTAAATATATTGTAGTTGGTGAATTGGTTAACTTGTATGTCCTACCAGAAAGTTAGAGCTCTGCTGTCTGGTGGGAGTGTAAATTGTGTGTATAACTGTAAAATAGCGCACGGTACCATAACTACTGACATGTACCATAACTACTGACATGTACCATAACTACTGACATGTACCATAACCACTGACATTGGGTAAAAATTACTAATAATTGCTGTTTTATGTTATATGTATAATACCATAACTGTTACTAACTGATCTGTGACTTTAAAACTGTATTATAACCACTTACTAACTGTACCATAACCACTGACTGTAAAGATGAGGTTACTAGAATGTGATATAGTTGGTTAGTCAAGAGTTGATTTATAGTACAGATAATTGTAGAGATGAAATCTGTTGAAATGTTATGTGATCGGTTAGTTTATATGGATTAATAGCGTGGATAGTTGTATGGTTTGAATAATAGTTACATTGATGAGTGTATAGTCTTTGGTGGGTTTTTGATTTAATTTCGTGTGTGCGACGTCGTGATATTGCTGAGCATGTGAGGATCCTGTGTGTGCGTGCATGTGTGTGTTTGGGCCTAGTGACTGCGCAATGTGTTGCTGGTGATAAGGAGATTGGTGTGACTGTTGAAACTGTGTGTATATTTGTACAGCTTTTTGAATCAGATGCTCTGTTGAAATAATCTGATTCACTAGGCTGTTGTCTTGTATGTTTAAAAAAAAAAAAAAAAAAGTAGGGAGTAGCTTGTCCTGGTGGCCGCACGGCCTCCATGTAGCAGTCTTCACTTAAATTTAGTGCAGGGTGTACATGTGGCTGTAACTAGTAGGCTGGAATTCTATGATCAGTTTCTATATATTGACTGTTGGAAACTGATTTGTTGAAAAATTGCCTTGGTGAATTAAACTGTGTTATATGGGAAACAATGTAGCCATATGGTGGTCAGAACTAAGGACTTAATTACAACTGCTTTGGATATCCCCTCCCCCCCTGGCATCTGATTACCAACCCCCCAAACATCCTCCAGAGCCAGATTAGCCACGCCCATTTCTGGCTGGTATAATCAGTATTTGCACTCCCCCTGCTCTACTGTCCCCGCCTACCCACATACCTATCTGTTCCTGTGTTTCAAACTCTTGTATTTCTGTACTACTACCCCTCCCCCTAATCAATGGTATCAGATGGTATATGGTCTTTATTTTAGTTACTGGATGGGCCCCTCCCAGCTTTGTCCAAAATGTCCCCTTTTACTAAACTACAAACTGAAATGTTTAATTTACCTTAGAACTAAAGATTTAATCAAGCCTAGCTATCGGGGTGGACAGTGATTAAAATAAGTAATAATAAAATAGGACATAATTAATTAAAGTCTATTTGTTTCATTTGACTTTAGGGAGGCACTCTAAGCCACCTACTGGCCATCTTCGGGAGTTACATTGATAATACATTGTTTATAACAGATAGATGTAGGATTGCTTACCCTATTTTAATATATTTATTGCTATAAGGTTTTATTTTATGTATAAATATATTAAAAGTTGAGTTTTCTTATTAGACCCATAAATATTATTTTGATACAATTACCCTCTGGTGACACCTACTGGTAGGTTTTTGGTTTAACACTTAAAAAAAAAAAACATTTTTTCATCCACCAAATGCCGACTAATAAAATTAGCTCACCCCCTTACATCTATCTTACTAATCCTAGACTGGAACCTATTATTGGGCAGCCTTGCCGAAGTCCCATATTAGACACTGCTTGAGTCAAATAGGTTGTATACTCCCTTTAATCCAGAGGCCCCTGAAAACTTCCAAATGATAGACTCAGCATTTGTCAGCCAGGCCCAAGGTGATAGTAAAAGGAAATTACAGAAATTAGAGGGATTTGCAGGGATGTCCATAATACAGCTAATGGAGATTGCAAATACAGTATATATGAATAGGGAGATGGAGGAAGAACGTAAAATGAGGAAAAAGGCAGATATGCTAGCGGTAGCTATCTTAAGTGTAGAAAGACAGGGAAGTGAATAGAGGAGACGAGAATAGGCTGAGCAAGGGACCTTTAAGTAGGAATTAATGTGCGTATTGTAGAAAGGAGGGACATTGGAAGAGTGAGTGTCCACAGAGAGAGCAGTATGAAGGTGATAGACAAGGAGAGAGAAGGGTATGAGGAGGTTATAGTGGTAGTTATAGAGTAAGAGGAAGTTTTAGAGGGAATGATTGGAATAGTAGAGGAAGTGTTCAAGGAGACAGATACTATCCACCCACGCAGAGACCTAGAGAAAGAGAGGATAGAGATTTTGTGGGTCTGGCTGACACTATCATGGAAGACTATTGATACCGACTGGGCTCCATCCCACTTGGTCGAAGCGGAGCCTATGGTCGATGTAGCAATAGGGGGAAAGAGAAGTTCTTTCATGATCGACACAGGTGCTGAACATTCTGTGGTGACTAAGATGGTGGCTCCGCCTTCGGGGAAGACTATAACTGTGATAGGAGCTACTGGGAGAAGTGCAGCTAGACCGGTTCTTAAGAGTCGCACTTGTATTCTGGGAGGCCATGTGGTGAAGCATTAGTTCCTATATATGCCAGAGTGTCCGATTCAACTTTTAGGACGAGATCTATTATCGAAGCTTTAAGCTCAGATAACCTTTTACTTAATGGATTAACATCTCTGAAGTTTAAGGGATTACCAGGCATAATGGTGATATCGGTGCCAAGGGAAGAAGAATGACGCTTCTATTCCATAGTGACAAGTGTTAACCCTAAGAGTGATGAATCCTTATTTGACATTCCAGGAGTATGGGAAGAAAATAATCCTCCAGGACTTGCTCGTAATATCCCACCAATACATATTGAGTTAAAGCTCGGGGTGTATCCTGTTAGCCTTTGTATGTTGTTCTTTTATCTACCCCAACAGCTGTAAAGGTGGCGGAAGTGACTCCTTGGATTCATCATTCTAAGGTTAAACCAGCAGCAGACTCTTGGCAAGCTACTCCAGATCCTGAGAATCCTTGCAGGACCCGGTTGAAGCGTGCAACTCAGTCGGAGTGACGAGGGGATATCGAGACATTCTAGTTAAAAGTCTACAAAGATCATCAAGTAGGTGTTTTGACGGCCATAATAAAGCCTGACCACCTGCCTACGTGTCATAGCCAGAGTATCTTGAAGGGATCTCTGTGAAGGAAAGTGAGGATCAGAAGAACAACATCCTTGCAGCCCTCACAATCGGGAAGCTGAGAGGCCATCGCACGGTCGAAGAAAAATGAGGATTTCAGGAATAATGTGTTTTATTGTGTCTTAGTATTTTTATGATTTTTCAGGAAGGTAGGAGTACAGACATACCGAATTGCGATAGTTGCATTAAGACTACTAAAACAGGTAACCAAATATCCCAAACTCTCATCTGGCACTCACAGTATGAATGTAAGGGATCTGTATCTAAATGTAGATATTTGGATATTGATTATAGTGTGTGCAAGCCAATATCAGGAGAGTCTAAATGTTTTGATCCCCATTTCCAACCCCGTACAATTTGGTTGGTAATTCGGAATAGTAACTCCCAGGGGACATTACTAAATAGGACTGTGATAAGCACCATACATTCCACGGGTATTCTACTATTTGATGCATGTAAGGCGATTTCGGGTAGTGGAAGACTTTGGAATGTATGTGGTAATCTTAAATGGGAACGAACTTATGGGTTTAATGATAAATACTTATGTCCCAGTATAAGATCTACTGATCCTGATTGCCCAAATAGAGACTAACTTCTGCCCCTATTGGTCATGTGTAGGTTGGGCAACCTGGGAAAAACAGTGGATCAAGATATGATTATCCAAAGGTTGCCTACCACACCATACTGTAAAACTATGTGTGTAACCCCGTTCACATGACCATTTCCAATCTGCAGTACTTTATTGACAGGTTTGGAGGTCTGTTTGGGTTCCAAATATATGGCACAGGAGTAGATTCAGGAACAATAATATATGTAGGTCTTGAAACTGAGACAGTGGCAACTCAAACTCATCAGGTTTCTCATTCCTTCTATGAGGAGATGAGTATTGAGGATAAAATTCCCCATAATGTTAACAACCTATTTATTGATTTGGCTGAGGGTATTGCAGGTAGTCTTAATGTAACTAATTGCTATGTGTGTGGAGGTACTAATATGGGAGACCAGTGGCCATGGGAGGCAAAGGAAATATGGTACCCTGGCTCTGAGACATATGAACAACAGATACCTTTCCAGTCTGATCATCAAGTAAGTACTAGAAGTAAATTGGAATGGTGGTTAAAAACCTCCATTATAGGTCATGTTTGTATAGCCAGGAAAGGGACAATGTATAACACGTCTGTAGGTGAGCTAACTTGCTTGGGACAAAAAGCCTATAATGTTAATACTAAAAATACTACTTGGTGGTCAGCTTCAAATGTCTCGGAACCTACTAATCCGTTTGCCAATTACACTCATTTAAAGGAGGTATGGTTTGACTTATCGGCTACATCTAGTTGGAAAGCCCCAGCAAATTTATACTGGATTTGTGGTAAGAAAACTTATTTGGAGTTACCACAAGATTGGGAAGGGGCATGTGTATTAGGTATGCCAAAGCCATCCTTCTTCTTGTTGCCAATCGAAACAGGAGAGACCTTGGGAGTTAAGGTTTACGATGTAAATCATAAAAGGGTTAGCATCCTTGAATATAGGTAGCTGGGAAGATAATGAGTGGCCCCCTCAACGTATTATTAATTATTATGGACCTGCTACTTGGGCAGAAGATGGCACTTATGGATATAGAACTCCGATTATATATGCTCAACCGCATTATTAGACTACGGGCGGTAGTTGAGATTATTACTAATGACACAGCTCAAGTGCTTAATCTTCTAGCTAAGCAAAATACCAAGATGTGATCAGCCATATACCAGAATAGGCTAGCCCTTGATTACTTACTAGCAGTAGAAGGAGGTGTATGCGGAAAGTTTAATCTAAGTAACTGTTGTCTGTACATAGATGATGAAGGGCAGGCAGTGGCTGAACTTACAAGCCACATGGTTAAATTTGTGCATGTACCTACTAAGGTCTGGAATGGGTATAACCTAAGTAGTTGGTTTGGAAGTTGGTATGAGCAGCTTGGAGGAATTAAGACATTAGTAGGAGGAGTAGAATTTATTATTTTTTTTTTGTGCCTCCTCCTGCCCTGTCTAATTCCACTAGTGGTAAGGTCCCTACGTAGCATTATAGAGAGTACTATAGAGAGAAAGACAGCGGCTCATGTAATGGCTGTCTGGAAGATATGATCCCCTAGCCCGAAGAGAATATATTCAGGATGAAGAATGTTGAAGGAGTTTTTAAGATGCTTACAAGGTCTACTCTGGTTCAATGGCTACTTGAGAGATGTAGGTAAAACTGTGATTGGTGATGCATCTGGAATAATGTTATATCAGAGGCATCAAAAGGGGGGAATGTGATGGGATTCCAGCATGGTTAAAATTTAGTAGGCCAAAATCTCCATGTGGCATATGTGTATGTTGTGTCAGTTGGTTAGCTACATGTAGCTAGGATACTGTCATCAGTGTACTGAGCATGTGCAGGAATGCAGGAACTGAAATTGCACTTATTTCCTTTGTCTTGGATGAGCCATGTGGTTTGACTAGATGTACAAGTCTATATTCTGCTCATTGATTGGTTAAAGGTGTATGTGGGTGTAGCTATTAATGGGAGGAGATATGCAGTTAACAAAAGTCCCAAGCCACAAGTATATGTCTCTCAGATCATTTGGAACAGGAGTTCATCTGAGACCCGATCGGTAATGTTAATAAAGGCCTGTTACTTCCTGAAGACCTGTGTCCAATATTTCTGTGTTTGGCTTCTGCATGCTTACACTGCAACACTATGGGGAGCTTTTAGAGTCTCCATGCAGAGCGTGGAGACGCTGAACATAGGTCTTGCAAAAATTGCAGGAACTAACCTAGGAAGTCCCTGTAGTGACTGTCAGTAGGACTAGTCACTAGAGGTGTTACTAGGCAGCAATGCAACAATGCAAACAATGCCTTTTCTGCATTGATCTGTAGTGGTTCTGGTGACTATAGTGTGACTATAGTGTGCTTTTAAGTAACTACCATGGTTTGTTTTTTTTAATTAAAAACAGGTTGATAAATGTACTTTGAGTACACATTTCTCAGTAGATTTATTTCAGTCAGCCAATCCAATGATTGAGTTTGGCTACTGGAAATTCAGCTGGCATTAAACACAAAATTCAAAGAGAAAGAAAAAAAAATCAGCTGAAAAAAGTTATTATCAACTGTTATCTGCAGTTAGATTTAAATTGAGGCCATAGTTTCATATTAATTTCAATCTATATGATGGATTCAGATAAACAACAGCAGCTCGATTTATTTATGCAGATAAAAAGCTGCGTACACAAGAAAAAGACTTACGCTTGTATTTCTTTGAAAAGTTCCGTGAGATTTACTAGTGTCACTCACAGTGGTGTATTTAGGATTTGTGCGGCCCTAGGCAGGACGGTGCTCGGCCACCTCCCCCTAATTTAAATTTTCCCCACCCCTTCCTGTCAAGGCTGCACTTTGATTGACAGACGCTCACTCATTGACCGACGCTCACTCACAGACAGACGCTCACTCATTCACTGATAGATGCATACACTCAATGACAGACATACACTTTCATATACACTGACAAACAATGACATACACACACTCACTGATTTGACACACTGATAGACAGACATACACTCGGACACACACTCACTGACAGACTCACTGACAGACGCACGCACCAGCTGACAGACAAACGCACATTCACTGACAGACGCACGCACATTCACTGACTGACACACACACACACATTCACTGACAGACACTCACATTCACTGACACACACACACTCATTGACTGACACACACACACATTCACTGACAAACACTCACATTCACTGACACACTCACTCACATTTACTGACACACACACATTTCCCCCACTCATAAATATTTTTTTTAAATGAAATCCACCCACCCTCCCTACTTTTGGGATAGCTGGGTGGATATTTCACCTGGGGTCCAGTGGGGCTGCTGGGCAGGGAGGCGGCCAGACGTGTGGGCAGGCGGCGAGGGAGCACTTTCCCCTGAGCTCTCTGCTCAGCTCTCTCATTACTGCGGGTCGCACGAGGGAGCTGAGCAGAGAGCTCAGGGGAAAGTGCTCCCTCGCCGCTCGCCTGGGGGAGCCCAAAAGGTGGCCAGCCGGCAAGCTCTTGAGCTCCCATAAAATGAGGCAAACAAGGTATTTGCCTGGGCATTTGGGGGAGGCGTTTCTTGCCGCCCCATGGAAATTGCCGCCCAAGGCAAATGCCTTGTTTGCCTCGCGGTAGACACATCCCTGGTCACTCGTGGTATCGGAAGGTAGCGTAAATGTACAGCTCCAGTGTAATAATTTTCCCGGCGTAAAGCCTTCAAAATCAACATGATGTTAGGTACGCCAAACCCTATGCCCTATGCTCATCGACTGGAAACTGTGAATTCGCCATTACAACTTAACTAACAGCAAGGTTTCATATGCATTATTAATTAGTTAATTTGCAGGATTATCCAGTAACTCCCTTGTCACTTCTTGTAAATTAGTAGACATTAAACAGCCACTGCTTACAAAAAGTACCAACAGGTATTTTAGTAAGTAGCGGCTGGCCAGTAAAAAGTAGGGACAGGTATGGAGATATTTCAGCCCCAAGCAGGGGTAGGATTTCTGGCATAAATCAAATATTTCCACGCTAATAATTACCATTCGCCATCGCTATTTCTGGGTTTATCTGTTAGAGTTTTTTTAACTGAAAGAGTGTTCTACGCCACTGTAACAGATTAGATACAGAAACTAGTAAATGCATTTTGACATAACTGTTATGCAATGCTAAAAAAAATTACAGTTTGATTGTACTAAATCAAAGGGTTTATACAATAATTCAAGAGTTCTAGATTTTAGGGAAAAACTACTGTGATTGAGATTTTTTTTCCAAAAGTCATTTTATCTAAGTCCTTTTGGAGCCTCCAGGAATCATCATAGGGGTAGTGCCATCCCCACTAAAATTGGCACAGTACCTGCACCTCAGATACGGGATTACTAGGCTCAGAACAAGGTGAGAACCCCATTTTGTCTTGTCTACATTTCCACCTCCGGTCTCAACAGACTACACATTTGTTTGTCTCTTTTATGTTTTCTTTACGAGAACCACTTCACAACGAATTGGAGGTGTGGTTCTGCCATAAAAGCACACCAGCTTGATTACGGAGCCAGTACTCACACACAGGCTCCGCCACATGTGAGTGTCCTGACTACAATATTACATACTGTGTTCTATTTTAAGTACCATCTGCACTATATTGTATCTTTTGTCTTTTATTTTTTTTACATGTATCTTATACCAAGCTTTTAATCAAGTTACGTGTGGTAAGTTTACCCCACATACGCATTATTTGTTTAGCACTCCACTTGTAGGTGTAGGTTTTCACTTACACAGGTCTAAAATTATTTCAATTGTTTTGTGGATAAGAGGATATTTCCACATAAGTATATAGAGCTGCTCCTATTTTATTCACGTTTTAGCACTTTTTATTGTTACACACACTCCTCCTTATAGGAGGTGTATCCTTGATTTAAAATCTGAAATACGCTTGTCAATTCGCCACAATTCCTTGTCTTAGTGAAAAAAAGCCCTAATTTGTAAATATCATGCGGTAGCAAACTATATAATGTGCAGACATATCATTATCTGAATCGTCAAAATATATGCATTTTATCTTATGCATCTTACTTATTCTGCAATGTGCATTTTAAATCTTTCAGTGTCTTCACATTTTAACCACACCATTCTTCACAATCTAGTTATTCTACTCTGCGACTATTAAACAATGCTTTACGTTATTACCATTCAATACACGGTAATCATGTTTCCCGTACATTTTGAGTCACTCATAACCAGATTTTAACTGTTCTAGAGTGCATATTTACTACCCATCTTTTGTCCATCTGGTTCTGATATGTAATAGAGAAAAGAGCCCCAAAGTGTGTGCTCCCCACTAAGCATTCTATGTGATGCTACACTTCCAAATTTCAATTATTACTAGAGTGTGCTATCAAGGTTTCACTGCTGTTTTCAAGAATTTAGTTCGCACAGCCTGGTAGCCAGAATGCACAGCTGCATCAGATATCAGAGGTGGTTTCAGACCGCAGTCATTATGCTCTGGAGTCCCCAGTGACCTAAGCTTATTCAGAATGTACAATACCATATAGATAGAGATGGAAAATATTCTAATCATGACCATTTTTTCATACTACATGAATATTTGTGTATACTTTAAAATACTTGGGTAAATATTTAAATATATTTCATCTTATGTGATTTTATGGAAGAGAAGGGTCTTGCACCTTACTCTAGATCAGGCCTTCCAACCATGCCGATTTCGGCGGGACAGTTCTGATTTTCGAATCCTGTCCTGCCATCCAAACTTAGTTATCTGGTTCCTCGCTTTTGTTCGAGTTTATCAGTCGACGTCCTTGTGCTATGTTCAGGACACTAGGACTCTTCAGAAAGCACTGGATGAGGCTCTGCCCTCAGTCGGGTGGCCTTATATGATTGGCACTCAGCCTGGCATGTATTCACGCTAGGCTGCCCTGCCAGTAATTTGGGCGGGTTGGCTCCATTTGGGCAGAGCCAATCACGTCAATGGTCCACCACTTTTACACTTCTCCCACTGGCACCCTGCTTCTCAGAGGAGGTATGCTCTAGTAAGGCATTTTATTATACAAGAAAATTTTGGGAAGATATTGGTCAGAGCATTACTATTCCATCCAGATCCTTTGGCTTTTGTTATAGTTCTGTGTATGTCAGGACTCTTAAAATGATAATTTTTAACTTACAACAACACAAGTATTGATGAAATGTAAACATACTATGAGCAATGGCACCAATGAAGAATTGTTAAACTTTGAGGGTTATTCAGTGAAATGTGTATTGTTAAGAATTTCAATAGCCAAATTGGAAATATTCTCTGGGTAAACTGTGTTTCGAGTCCAACTGTTTGGGCCTAAATAATAATTTATATTCCCTTTTAAGTTAATTAATTCCTGACAATTTGTACTAACTGAATAGCGATGTTCTGGGGGGAGCACTAGACTCCTTTTTGCTTGATTCGACCAATATTGATGTACCAGGAATTATTATGTGAGTACTGGTCTTGTCCACACAAAATAATGATGCTTCCCTTGTAGTTAGTGGAAGACTGCAGAGTTTGAAAGAAGTCTGCCCATGCACACATACACACAAAAACAGATTAGAGAAAGAAGGCACAGTGCACATTTATGTATATGGAATATAGGAAAGTTCCATACTCACGTGGTCTCGTCATTTTGAAATTCCACCTTTCCTGCCACTTCTAGGTAGTCCTCTCCTGCTTTGGCAGTGCCTTCACTTGTTCTGTAGGGAATTACTACTTTGCCTCGTGCCCCTGATCCCCTCACCACTTTAGCCCTCATTGTACCAATACTCTCACTCACTCGCATACTGCCAGCCTCAAAGCTAAAGATGCCAGCATGGTCATCATCAAATATTGTCACTGTTGCTCTTCTCCCAGTTCCCAGCCTTACTCTGCCCTGCCCTTCTCTGACTCCTCTGGCCCGCCGCGGGTTACACAGTTGCACATAAAAATGTTCATCCTCTTCAAATACATCATCATCAATAATGCCTAAACGCAATTCCTTCCTTGACTCCCCAGCCTGAAATATCACAGTTCCCTCTGCTAATTCATAGTCTGACCCTGCATTGGCGGTGCCATCCTCTGTTCTGTAGTCAACCTGAACTGCACCTTCACCCTCCCCCCTCCTACACACCACCCACAAACTAACTGTTCCACAGTTTTCAAAGCACTGGTAGTGAGTGTGTTCAAATTCCACCTCTGTCCAGCGTGCCTCATCCTCTCCACGTCCTCCTCCCTGACCCTCTCTTGTGCTACCATCAGTCAGAGCCCTCCTCGCCTGGTCTGCTGCATGCTTCTTCAATACATTGCCTGCACCAATCATCATCCTGGTGGCCTGGATCCTATAAAAAGCCCGACTCTTCTGTTGTTGAACAAGTGCCTGGTAATTGGCTAGTTCCATTAACTGTTCCATGTCTTTTCCTGGATATCGCTGACGCATGTCTTTAAATACTCTTGCCATGTCTCTTCGCTCTTCTTCTTCTTCTTCATCATCTTCCGCAAACATTCCTCTTTCCCCTCCAGCCATTCTCAACTCTCCCGGTTCTTCTTGTCCGACTGTATCCTCTGCTCCAACAAGTACTCCTCTGCTTTTACCTGCCCTGTACTTTGCCTTTCCCTCTCTTCCTCGTCCTGCATAACGGTAAAAAAGGAGACGTCGATCTGCCAGCCACGCTTGCAATACACATACTGGAAAGAAAAAGAATGTCAACAGGGCTTCCCATACCTCAACCTCACCTGGGGAAGACCAGGACAAGATCAGGAAGAGCCACACATAGGCAAAGACACTCCAAAATGCAGTAACTGCAAACACACGTGGATGGCGGATACGCCTGCTTTCCCCATCAGGCACTACCATCACACAAAGACCAATAATCACAAACATGTTGAAGGCAGCTGAGCCAACAATTGTACTTGGACCCATATCACCAGATTCAAATCCTCGTCCGACCACCTCAATTATGGAAAGCAGAATCTCTGGTGCTGAGGAGCCTAGGGCCATCAGTGTTAGATTGGAGACAGTTTCATTCCAGAGGCGTACACTTGTCACTGTCACCTCTCCATTGGGTTTTCTGAAAGTTATTCGACGTTCCTGAGAAGTGATGACCTCAATTGATGCCATAAAGCGATCAGCTATGATAGACATTCCCAAGAACATGTAGACCAGAGCCACAAAGTAGACAATAGCACGTGCTGCCCGGTCTCCAGTGGATGGTGGGTGAGGTAGCCAAGCGGGCAGGACAACCCCATCCGAGCACTCACCAGTTTGGGTGGATCCACAGGTTGACACATTAGGTAAAGGAGTGGTGGCAGGGTGGGACAAGGGGAGGAGCATAAGGGAAAGCAATAACAGGGACATAGTGGAGAAAGGAAGGGAGGTAAGGATCACCTGAAAAGAAAGAAGGTTGGGTTAGTGAAAGGAGAAAGAAAATGTTTGCACAACACAGAGACACTTAGCGGCTACTAAACATAACTGCAATAGAAAAAGGGTAGGTAGCTAACCTATAACAGCACTAGAAAGCAATTTTCAAAATCTCATACACCTAATTACACACTGTTAAAGTTCATCTTCTCTGAAAGCACATGTAATGAACAAAATGATCCATCTATATGTGCGTCACAGAAGTACTGATGTAGATTCTATAATCAACGTAAAGCTGAAAGCTTTGCTTTTTCTGAGCTCAGGGTACGCTTCTTTTCAATACTGACAAATGGGTAGATGGAGGAGTGTAAAACAGACAGATTGGAGTCCACAGTAACCTCGATTTAAAAGACTAAGGGACACTATAATAACAGATTGGGCAATTTCCAATAACCTTTTTTTTTTGACAGTGACAGAGTGAATGAGGCTAAAACTAATATACACAATGATAACATTTAATTAAGCCTCAGTGATTTGTGAAGGAAACCGATTTACCGAAGGACATTTTTTTCCGCACACCTCAAACCGAGTCTATTTATTAATTGTCAGTTCATAGTGTCTACCACTTATAAGACTGAGAGGGACACATATTGTACAGGTCAGTTGGAGATATTCCCGAACATGGAAATACGAAGTTACAGGCCCCTTCGATCATGAGAGACCTTTACCAAGTAGGGGAGGGGGGACACTTTCCCATTTCTCTTGTGTTGGTGTTTCTGACAGAGAGAAATTGTCCCTCTCTGGTGTTTAACAGTAGTATTCTCCAGGGTTGCACAGTAATAAACTGAGAAATTCCTTCTGGTCTCTATCACATTAGAATACTTCATAAAGAACCTTTTCCAGTATGACATTAGTGAACTACGTAGACCTCCCTAGTGGAAATAAATCTGGATCTGGGCTGTGAAGGCATGCTGTATTGGTGCATCCCCAATCAAAGTAATATACTGACAGGCTAAATTACCCCTCCTCTAGTATAACATGAACAGACTGAGAAAGCTTCCTTTTGGCAAGCTATGAAAAATCCTCGAGGACAGAAACAGAAAAGCAGGAAAGTCCATTTCCTGAGCATTATTTTAACAGACTGAGAAAGCTGATTTTTTTGCATAGGACATTGGTAGGCTAACAGAGCTATTTACTGGTTATAAATATAATATTTCAATTTGAGTCCCTTAAATAACTGCGTGATACTTGCTTATTTGTGTAGAGTTTATTTACTATATGATGCCGGCCGTGTGAAGAAGTTTGTTAGATGGGCACATTAAATTATGTCCTAGCAGACCAAGAGTCTTCATCTGCTCTGTGTGACCATTGCAGACTGAAATAGTTACTCGTCTTAATCCAAATTAGCAGGCTAAGAGTTTATCTCCAGGGTGCAACATTAACAGATACATGAGGTATTCATCCTACGTGCCACTAAGCAGACTGATGTAGCCTAAATTACGTGTATGACAATAGACCCCCTTCAGTATTGAGTGAGAGACAACGGTAGGCTCAGTTATAGGTTTTGGAACACCCTATGTCTGTGTGTGTCTGTAATAAGCTAAAAGAGACATTATTCAGGTGTGACACCTGCAGACAGAGGGAGCCGTAATCTTTGTGACACTTAACATACCAAGTAAGACACATTTTTGAATGACTTTTACACATCTTACATGGCATTTATACAGTGATAGTGTCCAGCGTGACATGGACAAATTAAGGTATCACAATCCTATGTATAATACTGACGGGATGAATGATGCTCGTCATCTCTGGACTTATAGACTGGGGATTCCCTTTCATTTTGATAAGACTGGTGGTCCTCGATCTAGACTGACACTAGCAGAGCATAGCATCCTGACACTAACAGAGCATAGGGAGCATTTCTTTAACGTGTGTCACTGTCAGACTGAACCATGTTCATTTTGCTCTCTATCTACCGTACTTCTACTTTTTCATTCTACTTATGTTTGCCTCTCTATATATAGCTATTTTTAAATTGTTCTTGCTATTAGTCCAATATTTTGAAAATATTTTTTCCTATCCATTAAGCACACATAAATTCATTTTATATCCACTGTTCTGTTTTCCTTTATTACTCGTTTCTCAATGATCATTTTCTTCCTCGCTCATTGTCTTTCCTCTCCCCATCTATCTTTTTTTGTATTAATACCCACTTCTCGCTCAACCTCTCCTCCTCTATGGCACTCTTCAAAACTCTCTCGTTGCCTTTCAGTTTATCTTTCAATCTTTCTGTCGCTTATTTAGACATCTGTCCCATGTCATCTTCCCTTTGTCAATCGCACTCTTCACAGTTACAGCACATTATGTCTATACACGTTGCTTTAGTAATTGCAACAATACTGGAGTATATTGATTCACTCCCCCCACCACCACCATATACTGCAGACCTCTTCTCCACCCCTTACCTTTTAGTCTCCCCTCTATCCCAAATTTTCAAGGAATTGTCACCTTCCGCCGTTGTACATCCCCACTTCAGTAGCACGGTATGCTTTTGTGTCTGAGCACATGGATGTGTGAAGACATGTGTGTGCAGGCATGTGAATAGGCATGAGTGTGTGCGTCTGTGTCAAAATTCTTCTGTCCCTGTATACTGCAGCTATGAGCATATACACTGCACTGAGATGAGAGCAGGGGGGAGTGGGGGGTGGGATGGAGGAGTGGTAGAATGTGTGAGGGAGAGAGAATATGTGTGAGATAGAGGAGGGTATAGGCAGAATACGCCAGAGTGAATGCAAGACACCAAAAAAATTTCATGGGGGCTTGGGAAAGCATGCAAAAATAAAAAGAAGGAATTGGAGAGAATATGATGAGCAAAAGAAGGCAAAAGTAAAAGCGGTTTGTGTAAACATTGCACTGTATGCAAGCCTGTATTTTTATTTAAATAGATACTTTGCAAATGAGTATGAGGGAAAAAAATATAACATCAACATTTACAAGTAACACGTGCATTTTTTTAAAAAATACGTTAGCATTACTTCAAAACCTGTATCTTTGTATATGTTGATATCCATATATTGCGGTGTGCGTGAATGTTAACGTAAAGAACAATGTGTAAATAGGGATATATTGTTATTCACCATGAATATATGCAGTGTATATTCACATGCTCAAATTATATTCCAAATCCAGCTCTCACATGAGAACATTTCCCTCTGACAGACACTGTAACAAGCGTGAAAGGATTTATAGGAGACATTAATCCGTTTCTGCCAAAGCATCACTTAACCCCTCACCTCCCAGAGAAATCTCACACAAAAGATCCCAATGGCGTTAAAACAGAAATATCACCTCGTTTAACATCTTCGCTTCTAGAGGAGAATTATATTATCCTCTCCTTCACAAGTATAACTGAATCTATAATCCGCTGGAGGTCTGTTGAAGATGGTTGGGTAGCTTGCCTATTCCTATTACTTGAACATAAAATTGATTTATTGTAACATATAGTATAGTAGTGTTGAACCGGTGCGCCATGACATATTGTTATGCCTCCAGCAAACTCATAGTGCTGTGATAGCCTTAATGCTGTCCTTAAAGGAACACACTAAGAACCATAACCACTACAGCAGACTGTTCTAAAATGGTTTCACTACTTACATTGCGGGGATGCCAGGTTAACCCTGGCACTACAAAATGCTGTGGTGGTTATGGTGTGTAGAGTGTTCCTTTAAATTGTGTCTGTGGTCTTTTAAGTGTCTGCATTAAAATAGTGATTCCCATCTGACAAGGAATACAAAATAATAGGTCAACACGAATAGAACTATGTATTTCTCTAGTAAGGTTTTAAATAAATGTGACATGCTTTAGCTGTAAAGCATTGGTTTCCAATCTCTTTTTGGATCAAGATACTTTAGTGAGATAAAACATTTTCAAGGTAAACTTTTTCTTTAACGTTAGCATCAGTGGTTTATAAATGTCATATTTGCTTGAAGCCTTACTAGAAAGATATGCATACTTCTAGCCAGCCAAACGGACTGATATGTTTTCATTAATTGCCAGATGGGATTCACAGTTTTAATCTTGACACACATTTAAGGATTACAACTAACTTATTAAAACTCAAAAATCAATATGTTTGTGAGACATTTTGTGGTACAGTCACGCTGCATATCTGGGGCTGTAGGGGTCTCATTTTGCTCAATTAAGGACATTTTGCATCTTTAAAAATAAACTGTTATTTCTCTGGATTTTTAATATAATTTGATTTATACTCTATATTTTACAAATATGTATGTGTGAGGAGTTAAAAATAAAAGTGAATGTAGAAAACCACAACTCTAAATTTGCAACTGTGTGCCTCCATCTTAGCTCCTGTCAATCATTGTTATAAACGCTGCCTTTTGCACCTGTCAGTCAACAGAGAGAAAACATACAAAGAAGAGGAAAAATTAAACGTTTCACTTTTTTCTCATTTGCAATGTGTGCCCTGGCTGTGCAGGACTGACCTGAATTGTGATGTCATATGCTAAATTTGTAATATATATTTGAAAAAAGGTTATAACATTACACAAGATTTCCAATGTTTTATTTAATGGTATATTGCGCAGAGGAAAATAACAGTCCCCCTTCAACATCAGAATGTTTATTGTGTAACTTAATTTACTGTGCAAAGACTGTACATTGCAGAGTAAGTTGTGAGTTGAAGAATGAAGGTTTGAGAATTGGAAGCCAATAAACATTTAGATGGAGCCATCAAGTAGAATTTTCCCATAGCAAAATAAGGCATATGCTCAGAAAACAAACTATTTACTTTCAGATTTCTGTTAAGAATTTTACAATGCGACAAAAACAAAATAACACTTTTTGCTTCCAGTTTTCCTGATCCTACAATATAAAAATACACTGAATTATTCACTAAAGTCTAAAGCTAATCTAGCCCAGGTAGCAAAATGAATAAATTAATAATACACTAGATAGGTTCTGCTGGGGAAAAAGAGTGAGTACAATAGCAGTACAATTTTTACCTAAAAATTAAGTATATATATATATATATATATATATATATATGTAAAGGCTTGCCTGGAGTTGTGCGAGGGGCGTGGTGGTCCTATTTAAACTCACCCCCCTTTTTCTGTAGTTTTGACTTCGGCAGGCATCACTTCCGGTTTCGGGCTTCCAGGTTACGATCACTTCCGGTTCGCGGTCTGTGCATTCAGATCGGCTAACAGCTGCGGTTTTTCCCACACGCTCGGGGGGCACTAAAATCGTGAGTCTTGCATACTCCGGTCCCCTCACCACTCACCATCTGCCACACGCCGGATGGTCCATATGGGTGGGGGGGCTGGCAGTAAAACGCACCGACACAGCAGCCAGAGACCACACAGGTCTCCACGCTGCTGACAGGTTTCGTTTTCAGCTTACTTAGTACACTACTAAAACTAAGCTTACATGCTGCTGGGGAAGTTAGTTTAAACTGTAAATAATGTATCACATACCACAGTACAACTACTGGGCTGCATAATGTATACTGTTATGACACTACTTGCTTCATACTATTTTATACTTAGCACATACTAACTAAACTGCATACTAATGTATACTTTATGTCATACTACTTACTGCATACTACTGTATACTTAGCACATACTAACTAAACTGCATACTAATGTATACTTTATGTCATACTACTTACTGCATACTACTGTATGCTTAGCATATACTAACTAAACTGCATACTAATGTATACTTTGTCATACTACTTACTGCATACTACTGTATACTTAGCACATACTAACTAAACTGCATACTTATGTATACTTTAGGTTCTACTACTTACTGCATACTAATGTATACTTTATGTCATACTACTTATTGCATACTAATGTATACTTTATGTCATACTACTTACTACATACTACTGTATACTTGGCACATACTAACTAAACTGCATACTAATGTATACTTTATGTCATACTACTTACTGCATACTACTGTATACTTAGCACATACTAATTAAGCTGCATACTAAGGTATACGTATTTCATGCTAGCTTGCCGCAGGCTACTACATACTTATCACATACTAACTGGGCCGCATTCTAAGGCATACCTTTATTACATACTGCTGGCTACATACTATACTATCACATACTACGGTATACTTTTATTACAAACTACTTGGTGCATACTACTGTATAGCTCATTACATTCTACGTACGGCACTACAGTAGTACATACTGCTATGTAACACACTACTAGGCTGCTCTACGGTATTACATACTACTGGGCTTACCACTAGGGTTCAAATGGTGTTACATTCTATTGCGTTACATGCTACGGTGTGTCATGATACTATGTGACTTGTTGCATACTATGGTGTTATATACTACAATGGGACGAGTGCAACATGCGGCTGTACTTCATGCCACTTTACTACCTGACTGTAGGGCATATTCTAAGATACGCGCTACGCGATAAAGGAGGGCCGACGCTTACATATTATGGTGGTGCGTGTCGCTGTGGATTTACAATGTGTTCACATGCTTTACGTGCATTATTCTACAAAGCTAGTATCAGAGATTACATTACTTATTTCTCTATGCTTACTTTTCAGGTTCAAGTTGACTCAAATCAACTACGTTCATTACTATCAAATCTTTATTTAACATTGTCCAGTAAGTAAGGTGTTAAGTAAGGGGTACTCTCAGCATTAAAAGGGAAGTGCGTTAATTACTATGTATAACATATACTCCTCTCTACTATCACTAGGTATAAACCTCGCTTCCATTAGGTTAGTGGTGGAAGTCTCAGGTTCTCTGTTTGGTTGTGACCTAATTTTTTGATCCAACAACAACAAGCGGGTCTCAGGTACGTTTTGCCTAAACACCCCCCATCCCTCCCCCTTAGAGCTTATGATTCAGTATTACTGGCATATCTAGGATAGGTGGCCACTAGTAAATTATCCGGGCTTCTTCGCCTTAGTATTAGTGGTCCCGCGAGGCCAACCCATTTCCTCCACGCTTGAGGACAGTCGCTCCTCTGGCCACATCATAGTTAGCCGCCTCGCACGGTTGCATAGAGAGGGCCTCACTTGTCACTCCCATGCTATATTATGCGCTTTAATCGTCATCGAGAGGCCAACACCCCGCCACAACGTTTCGGTGGCAACAATTCCCTTGCGCCAATTGATAGATAGAGCCTCTCAAGCCACTTGGCAACTAGCAGGGCCTCACCACACCTAGGAAATTGTTTCGCCATCCGACATTAGCTAGCCAGCCAGTAACCAAAAGATGGTATAATGGCTGATGGTTTGATTATTTCCTTTTAGTATGTCACATCTACCGGATTACACAGACAATTTGTCTCTACCCAGTTCTCCGGCCAGATCCTTGTCACCTACTCGTAAAGGCGACGTTGGGAGTCCAACTTCAATAAGGTCATGGACCATCCCTCGCATTACTGCAAAACTGCGGAGACGCAGCATTCCTTTTCCTGCCATGGCCAGGAAAGCTGAGCTCTACAAATTAATGCGGACTCATACTGATAACTCGGGGGCGGGAGAGGGCACAAGTGGTACTGGCAACTCGGACCTACACGCCATGGTCGCTTCACTAGTAGCATCCATGAGCAAGGTCAACGAGAGACTGCATAGGAGCGAGGCTCGGAGCCCTCCTGTCAGGTCTCCCAGGCC